CACATACATATACATATACAAATACAAACAGACAGACAGACAGACAGACAGAACTACGCAGATGTTGTTCTATTGTTCATGAAACTTTGTTATTGATCAAATGATGAGCAACCAGCACCATCACAAAATCGGAAAACAACGACAACGCCGGCTATCTAATCACCATATACGTTGCCCATGCCTTGTGAGCCACGGTTCTCATTCCCAAAACCCTATGCCTCGGGGTCGTCGAACTTGCTGAGGCCCAGGGGATCGAAAAATCCAAGGGGCGGAGTCACACCAAGCTCCTGCAGGGACCGGGACGGTTCAGGGGGTTGGGGTTTCAGAGAATTTGCAGCTTTGGTAGTTTGTGGTTTTGGTCGATGGTTTGGGTGAGATGCTGGTGACACAAACTCCACACGCACATGCCAACATGCAGCGCATATGCCAATTCTATCCTCCGTCCACAACTAGGAACTCGAAACCTTGGGAGCATCAACTGAAGCTTGGACTACAGTTCGCACTTATCGGGCGACAAGAGGGTTGCACAGGAGCCTACACAATAGCTGGAAGCTGGTTCAGTCGGCGGGCGGGCAAGACTGGATTGACAAACGACTGAATCTCTTGGTTCAAAGTTCAAAGCCCTGGGAGTTTCTTTACCCGACCCAAACCCCGCGATTCGATATTCCGTGCTCAAACACTCGCAAAAGTTTAAAAAAAATCCCCGACTCCCCACTCCACGGCTCCCCGGAGAAGTCGGGAGCAGCGCGGAGGGGCGAGTCGGTGTAGTTGGCCCAGTCGCCTTGAGGCCAGCGGCTCCAATGCCACCCTTGTAAAGCTCTGTAGCCGGAGTTCAGGGTCTGAATGCCTGTTGGACCGGTTTGGGACGGCCCTACGCCGTATCCAAATTCTGGCAACAGAAGCTCTCACACCCAACACCCAAGGTTTGCTGCAAGGTCAGCCGCAAGCCCTTCTTACAACCCTGGAACCCCTATAACAAAACAACTACAGCCGTTGCTGCCGTGGGTCCCCAGGCAGACCCGGTAAGGCCGTCCTGGAAGAACATTCCTCAGTGGCAGAGTTCCGATTTTAGGGGCCGACGCATAGCGTGAACGCTGTAAGGCCGTATAGGGTTTCATACGGTTCTACCAGGGCCTATACAGATTTCTGGGAATGTGGGGCCTGGGTTTAGGATCTTGGCCTGGGGTCTGCGGGCAGCTGACATAGCAAAGGTTTTGGATTGCAGGATTTGGGATTTCCAAGCTTTAGGGCTTACAGTCTACCTTAACATCGCGAACTACCCGACACCCGAAGGACTGAGTTCCGACGAGGTGCCGATGATGGCCATCATTGCCAGCCTTGGTCGAGCCAGCGGTCGAAGTGAAAGCAAGACCCACTAAACGACACCCTCACATTAAACAGACGACATCAAACACACTCCAGCGATTCAACCTGCCCGGAACCCGAAACCCCGCTAAACACTACTACCGCCCAGGCCCACATCCCTACTCCCAAACCCTTAACACCAAATACGTCGAACAAACAAGGGCAGGAATCCAGAATCCTTCACCCCAAACCAGCACAGCAACAAAAAACGCGCACAAACGCACATTGAGCGACACACCCAAAAACTCAACAATGGCCTTCCGTTGTTGATCTCGGCATTCAAGCTCTTTGCCTTCTTCTCGGCATCCTGTGAAAACTTGCCGCTCTGTAAAACTGCTTCAATTGACTCAACGGGCTCAATGGGCTCAATGAAGGTGTAAGAGCGATTCATGAGTTAAAGGACTTGAAGACTGGTCTTCAGATCGGTTGAGTTGTTGCAGAGGCGGCACTTCGCACATAATTACTACAGTATATAGTGGTCAGCCAAGCGTGAGGTTCATGTGCCGGGGGCCCAAACCCCAGGGGCGACCTGGCTACAGAGCATGTACAAGCTCGAGAAGAACGAGCTTCATGCATAGAGGCCGTTAGACCCACAGGACGCAGGGATCCAAAATCAAAGGAAACTGTGGCTTCTGCAGCCCACCGGCTACATGGTCGTGTCGTCCATGACAGAGGAGCGAGGTCCCGGCTGCAGCTAGTTGAAGCGAAAGTGCTGAGGAGCCCGTGGCAGCTGAATCACTCCCGGACATGCGGGAGTTTCTGTTCAAGGGTGCTTAGAATAGGGAGCCTACTGTTTGGGGCATATATTGGGGTCTGAACAATCAAGATCCGAAGGCCCTGAACTCTCCTCGATCTTCTTGCCGAACGGAAGGCCGAACGCGCCGTAGCCTGCTCACCGCACATGGGATGAGAGATCTCACGTCTAGGTTCGCTAGGAACATCCCCTACGTACTTGAAGGCACCACAGGTTCACGGAGGGCGAAGTCCAGAACTCGCACCCTTACTCAAAAACCAGGTAAGCTCTTCATATTCCAGGGTCAGCCCACGAAGTTTGAGAGACAGGATGCCATAGTCGCCGAGGATGTCTGTCTGAATGCTCTGGAGGTTGGTCACCCTCAGCTGCTCAGGGCTGGCAAAAGTTCGGGCGCCAGGGCGCAACTGCTGAACTCTCAAGCCAGAACCCGTGAAACTTGGTTTTCACTCCCACAGGCACAAACCTTAGACGATGCCTGATGCTTAGCAAGGGGGGGCCTTCAGTAAATCATGGGACTAAGATGAGCGAGCATAAACCTGCCCGAAAATGGACCGCGAAGGAATCCCAATCAAGCTCGCGACTCCAATTTTTAAACTCTTGGCTGCTCTAGCGGAAAGCCAAGGCATCACCCCACCAACTGGTTCGGGCTTAGGGCTGCGGACTTCGAGAAATTGCGACTGAGGCTTTTAGGATGTTGGCTGTAGAGGCTCTGAACCTCCTATGATGTAGAATGCCATGACAGAAAAGCACAACCAGAAAGTGAAAGCATCGTCGTCCTCCCTTCGAGTAAGCTACACTATACTCTACAGCAGTCGTCGCTACAGTGGCAATCTTTCATGGCGGCGTAGCAAAAGTACTCTACTGGGAAAGAGATGAAAGTGCAGGCAAGTGGCTCGATTATGCCGACCTCAGACGTCACAAACGAAAGTGGAAAATGGGGAGGCATTCGCGCATAGGGAACTCGGAAGCTTCGGATCAAGCCTTCGATGGAGTGAGGGTGTCGGGCCATGTCGGAAGTAGGGTCTAGAAGCCAGATCTTTCGCCAGGTCCAGATCTCGCACTCGAAAGCATCTGACGAAAATTGAAGCCGAGGAAGCCAAACATGCAACAAAAGTAGGCGACGGACACCCTACGCTGGAAAAGTCCACCCAAGCGCAGCAGGGAGTGACAATAAGGACTTACCCACCGCCCACCGGGGCCCTGACGAAGGTGATGATCTGGAGCCATCCTCCGGGCTTTGAAGACCGGATGAAGAGTTTTGGGGTTCTTGGTCTTCGTTTAGGACTCAAGGTCTCAGGCCGAAACCCTCTACGCCCAGCCCAAACCCTGCAGTCCAGTTCAAACTTGGGGGATGAAGGCGTCACCCCGGTCACCCTCAACCGGGAAAAGGTTAGTGCTAGAATGACCATAATCCTGAACCACTTAATCATTGAAAGAGTCCTGCCAGGGGCACTGCTGCGGCGCCCTTCAGGCCGTTGGGGATATCCTTGTTTCGAGCGTTTAGGATGCGAGCTGTTGGTTGGAGGAGGAGCTGAGGGCTTACAGCTGAACTACGAGGGGGGATGGCTCCGACGGCTCATGCTACTGCACCGTACAAACTCTCACGTCCTGAATGAAAATCTTCAGGAGGCCTCAACAGCCTGCTGAAGCCTTGCTGTGATAACCTCTGCGCTGCACACTTGTCTTGCTGGACCCTAAACGCCCCAACCACAAATTCTGATATCAGTTCATTTCACGGCAAGCATCTGTGAAGGCCAAGTTCTGCGAAGGGGCGCAGAATCCTGCTGCCGGCAGCAGGTATACGTATGGATTTGGTGGAGCATATCTAGGAGGCTAGAAGACATAGCTCGCCATCACTTGCGGAGCTTGCACTGCTTGAGATTGTCGGTGTCTGGGTTCGAGGGTTGCGCTTGAAAGTCTTTCAAGGTTAGTTAAAACTTAGAGTACTTAGATGCTGAGTCTAGGATTTCGGATTGAACCTGTGGCGGCAGGCCCAAGCCCAGCACCCCCACACACGGACACCCACGCCCACACCCACGACCACGACCACGCCCACGCTCCCACCCACCCACGCACCCACACCCACACCCACACCCACACCCACCACACATACACACACACACATACATATATATATATATGTATATATATATATACATATATTATATTGCATGCACGCACGCACACACACACACACGAACAAAAAACACACAGTCTCCCACTCTCTCTCTGTCTGCCTCTCTCTCTCTCTCTGTCTCTCTCCCTCCCTCTCTCGCTTGCGCTCAACCCACGCGTAGCGAACCAGAACCTTTGACAGATCTTGCCTGGGAAGCGAACGTACTCAGGGACAATGTATCCGATGCATGCCAGCATGGCCACCTTGGCACTGCGGCTTCAGTTGAAAAAACTAAAGCCTGAATAGCCCTAAATCATTTGCAAAAGCACGTCAACCCTGGCATCCACAACAAGCACCAAAAAGGAAGAGGTGGCAGCAGCAGCAGCAGCAGCACCACCACCACCACCAGCAGCAGCTGCACCAGCAAAACAAAAAACACACACAGTAGTACTAGCAAGCATGAAAGCCGCACGACCAGACGAAGAATGAACATGAACAGATTGCGAATCACATCCCCAACCCTAGACCCTGTGTGCTTCTCACTCTCACAGCTTCCAAAAACCACCGAGGCCCCAGGCTCGGCCGTGCTGCAGCTCGACGATCCGCCTTCGGCGGAACTGCTGCTTGGCGATCTGGGCCAGAGTGGCTTTCCGGTAGCAGGCTCAGGGTTCGGGAATCCGGGATTTAGGGTTCGAGGGCTAAGGACGAGGTGGCCTTCAGATTCCCTTGACAGGTTTCGTCACCTCAGTTTCCTCTCGTTGAGGACACAGAGTGTCGAGTATTGGACCGGAGTTGAAGGCGTTGCTGGGTTTGGTTTTCAAGGCTTTGGTACACTCCCCCTGAATGCATAATCTTCAAGGTCGCAACCCGACACCCCACACCCCACCCTAACACCTTAAATGCTACCCTCCATACCCTGGGAGCCTCATCGTTATCGTACTTGCTAAGGCCCAGCGGGTCGAAGAATCCCAGGGGTGGCGTGACGCCCAGCTCCTGAAAGGAGCTCGAAGCTTCTCTGTCGGGCCACTGAGGGGAGGAGCTGGAGCTTTGCAGATGCAGGGTTTGGATCTGTGTTTCGGGCCCCCGCATCAACACTGAAACCTGAACTGCAAAGACACAAAAGCTTGGCCTCAAATGCTGCCAGCCTCGAATTATAAGAATACCGAGTGTAACCTCGTAAATCTGCTTCGAAGGACCCGGAAAAACTTGCCTGAAGACTTGTCGAATCCTTTGTGCATCTGAGGGCTGGAGGCATGCGTACTATTGTTCGTTATTGCTTTGGGCCCATGCCAAGGACAAGTTTCCGACAGAGTGTATTTCACGCAGGAAGGGAAATCAAATCTAGGGTCCGAGCCGTAAGCCCTGAACAAACACATCACGTGCCTTCCAATTCCGTCAACGACACTCATGCCAAAACGTCAATCCCACAAAAGCTGCCTGAAGTCAACAAATCCACAAACCCTCCACAAGCCTGTGCCAGTCACTTTGGCCGTAAAGGTCCAATAAGACATAAACCTCTCTCCCCTCAATTCAATTCTGCGACTGCTACTCTGCACTCAATTACACCTGTGATTTCTCTTCGTTCCCAGTGGCCTGGGTAAAGTCCGGGGCCGCGCGGAGCGGGGACTCCGTGTAGTTGGCCCAGTCACCTTTGCATTGAGGATCTTTGAGGTTCTGGGGGCCTTGGACGGGGCCTTGGAGTCGAGGGGCTTGCGGGCAACTAGTGCTCCGGGGACTGGAGGACCCTGATGTCTTTGCCGATACAACAACTTGATGCTACTGGTACGCGAACCTTCCATGTCTTTGCCGTGCTTGGATTTTGTAAGCTTCGGTCTTCCGACCAGGACCGGGGCCGGCTGGATTTGGGGGTTGCCGTGCTACTGAACTGAAGTCCGTGCATCGGAGCTTCGGTAAGTTTCGACCCTTCAAAGGGGCCACACGCCCGGCTCTTCGATTCCGTGCTTTCAGGGTTTGAGACGTCTCGCTCAAAGATCCATCAAAGGCACCCCAGGCGGAGCCCGTCAGGCCGTCCTGGTAGAACCTGGGAGCTTTGTTTCTTCAGAACCTTTCTTCAAGGGGTGCTGCTGCCACCGATCGTAGCCTCAAGACCTGAAATCTGGAACCCGGATGATAGCAAATTTCTACAAATGTTTGCTCGCAGATGCTGGCATTTCTCTCTTCCGCACTGCAAAGACCCAAACAGTTTGTTCCTTCGGAAGAGTGTGGGAATTTGCAGATGTCGGCCACTACGGGCAGCAGCCGTTGTAGAAGTCCCTTGGCACGAAGAAGCTTTCGCGTGCTTGCACTTTGCTGCTCTGGTCCATTGATGTTGCTCCCTAAGACCATAAGATGGCTTGCCTGAGCGAAGAGGCTGGGAGTCGTTGATGAATGGTTCCAGGTATGCGTCGGCAGGATATCCAGGCTTGGGGTGCAAAACATGGGCATGTTCTTTCTGTCACAACCCACTACTCGAACAGCATCAGGAAGCAGGAAACCAGAGCATGGATAATGAAGGAAAGATGCATGCCAATGATGGCCATCATCGCAAGGCGACCGTTTGCCAACTCTGCGTTCAACTTTTTCTTCTTCTCCTTCAAGACTTCCAGCATCGAACTCCAGAACCCCTCAAACCTAACAACCTAAACCCTAAGACCTCAAAACCAACTCCCGCAACCCGCTGAACCCCAAAGGTCTCTTCGAAAAGGTCCCGTGCTCCTCGGCGTCCGCGCTGGTTAGGACCTGGCCCGTCACTTTCTGGGCTCTGACATTTCGTAGGCTCAGGACTTTGGTGTGTGGCTTGGGGCTTGGGGGGGGTCCGGGGATAGATAGTCTTCGAGCATCCGCTAGCCTCCCAACACCCGGAATGCAACACCTTCAACCTTGAACGCCTCAAGCCTGGAAGTGCCTGAAGCACGAGTACAAAAAGCAGTGAGAAGGTAAGGGGAGGCACATTCCAAACCCTGACATCCAGAAAACCTTCCGGAAATCCGAAAGCCCTCAAAACAGAAGTTTGTTGAGAGAGACCCTAACTTCCGAATCGAGGGGAGACCGGGGCTCGCACGTACCATCCGAAGTCGCCAGGGCGGCCGCTGGCGATGTCGGAGCCTGCAGTGTTTTGGGTTTGCAGCTCTAGGATTTAAGGTCTTTCGGATTTGGGATCTAGGATTGGGGGTTTTAGGATGTAGCGTTTAGAGTTGATCGTACTAAGGATTTGGTGGTTCGTGAATACCTTCCCAATTTGCATTCGGCAGAGTGGCTGACGGTGCAGGGTCGGCCGAAGTTCAGGGCTGGGTGAAAGAGACGTTGCATCTCCTGTGCTTCCCGCCTGCTCCGCGAGACACCTCGCACCAACCCATGTACAGCCTCGGCTTCAGGGAGGATACAAGCTCCCGGCCTGCTCCTCAGAGCGCGAACCTCGAGCCTCGAACCCCAACCGGCCCCAACCTTCAACCCTGCAATCCCGAAAACTTAGAGAATCTACTTGCTCATACACGCCAAGTAACTAAGTATGGGTTTCAACCCGAGTGCGTAATAGTTGAATATGTCTTGTTCCTTTTGTTTAGCCGCGGGCCCATGAAAGCACCGCAGGCAATCCCTTAACGAACCGCTCGGGGCAAGCCCAGGAGCAGGATCTGGGTCCAGCCTCCGGCAGGTACCTGGGCCAAGGAGAACGTAAAAAACAGAGTCGGAAAACAGGACAGGGCAGCCTGATCTTTACTATCAGCCTCAGAGTCAAGGTCAGCGCTGCATCCCAAGTGCATCTGACGATGGCTACAGGACCCGGTATCTCCGCACATCCATGCCCTGAGCCTTGAAACTCCTATCGAAAAGTCGAAAAGAATCCGAGCTAGAACCCGAAACTCCCTCCGAAGGCCTTCGAGATGGCGGCGAGACCATTTGGAACGTCTGCGAACTTGAGACCCATGCTTGGGGAAAGAAAGCCTGCTGCGAGCTGAAGGCTTGAGATGTCACAGACTGGTCGGCTAGGCCGAGTTTCAAAGGTTTCGAGACATGATAGAGACATGAATCAAAACAACCAAAACTTCAAAGTCAAAAGACTCCAGCTCCCAGCTCCAACTTTTCCGCCTTCCAGTCTCATGTGTCCGCTCCAGAAAGCCAAGACCCAAAGCCATCTACGCGGGCATGGTAGGTACAGGAACGGGCTTGCGTGTTTAGATAGGTGGACAAGTGCCGGTTGTTGTAAGTAGGTAGATGGATACGATGGGCAGAGAGAAAGACGCACTGCAGCGAAGCATCGGTTCGTGCACCAGGCTCCCCGAAACCATGCGCGAACCCTCCCTGCCTGGGAACTTCCCAGCAATTTCGGGGGTGATGTAGCCTGGATCCGCAGCAAGGCGACACTTCGCGGTTAAACGCTTCCGCCTTCGTGTTTAGAGTTTCGTTGCATTGCGGGGCCCAAGATTTCAGCTCCAAAACGCATCATGCACCGCTCCAATCCCAAGCCTTGATCGAGCTTTCACCGAAAAACTTGAACTTGATTCGGGGCAGCCATCGATGAGAAACGTGAACCCGAAAACATCAGCAACGGGCTTGCTCACTGACGGTTTCCTTGAAACTGTCTCGCCAAGAAAAGAAACATTGAATCCCAAACCCTTCAGCATCCAAAACCCAAATATCCGTTTCAATCACAACCGACAGATCCGTCGAGTTCTCTCTGTCTGTATCTGCGTCCAGCTCACCCATGGTTGCCAGCATCGCGATGCGGCCATGCTTCAGTTCAACTGAACGCCTGCCGGGTTCAAGGTTTCAAACTTCGGGCTTGACAGTCGAATGCACCAACACAAAGCGAGACACAACACAAACAATGTATCCGATGAATCTCACACTATCAAGCTTACTGGTTGGTCGGGACGTTTTGCCTAAAGTAGTTGAACCTCGACTCAGAATCAGCAAATCCCAGGGCACAATAGCAGATCCCAACAGCCTTGGTCGCTTGATCCGGCAACCTCAAACTCAGCACACCAAAACACAGCACCACAAGCCTGCGCATAAATGCCTCGACATCGCCATCCCTGGCGAGGCCGAGCCTCGAGTCCAAATCCACCAAATGGGGTTTGTAATCATGATTTGAAGAATTGAGGAATACTGCTTGATTGACGAACACCGACGACGAAAGTGTTCTTCTGTGGACAGCGGACTGCTGTGGCACATAGATTTTTGAGTATGGTCTTTTCTGCTGCTGTATGAAAATATACTATTATAATGCTAGTATTGACAAAGGTGAATGGTGTAGCATTTTGCTATGCGCATATGCAAATGTACATGCATCTGCATATACACATGCATGCACAAGCACGTGCTAACTTGCATGCATACACGCACGCCCAAGCCCGTATCAATGCTGTTTATGTGTTTGCACTACCATGGCGCGTTCTACTACAACAATGCAACGTGCACAGCACATACAGCACGTTGAAGCGAAATGAAAGAATCACTATCAGGATGGATAGATGGATAGATGGATAGATGGATAAATGGATAGATGGATAGATGGATAGATGATTAGATTGATAGATAAATAGGTAGATAATGATAGATAGATACATAGATACATAGACGTGACGTTGGCTTCTGGTTCTGCAACACGCAGCTGGCTGTGCATGTGCGCAGTCACGCAGAAGCGGCGACGACGGACTCCTGTCTTCTCAAAAAACATGTGCGTTCTACATGACTATTGCCAAAAGCACAAGGCTACGAGCTAAAGTAGCTGCATTATGTTGAGAGACTTTTGACCTTGCCGGAAACGCGAAGGTCGTTCGAAAGCAAAAAAGGGTGCAATCAAGCTGAAGACGGCCTTGTAGTTCGACCCAAGTTATACTGGCAAAGTCAAAGTCTCGCCTACGGCTCGTTCCCCCAGAATGAAAAAGTGAGGCTTTGACTTTGGCGACGCTCATGTGAAACGCTGCGCCCCAGGCAAAGATCCTGCAGGCGCGACGGCTGCATACCCATAGCCGGCACAGATCGTGCGGGCAGCAATCGCATCCAGTCATGGCAAAGATCCTGGGAGCTTCAGCACTCCATGTGGCCCCGGCAAAGTTGCATACACATAGCCCCGGGCCATGGCAAAGATCCCGGGCAAAGATCCTGCCAGAAGCATTCACATACGCCCCGGGCCAACATCCTGCGGGCATAAAATACATCCAACATAGCCCCGGGCAAATATCCTGCGGGCGAATATGTAAAGAAAGCGCATCACATATCTTCCAGCTGATGGGTTTTCAGCGACATCCCGGCGGAAAAACCAAATGAATTGTAAAAAAAAGTCGACTCTTCTGCTGAGTTCCCATCGGTCCGGTAAAGTATCTTCCTCTTGATTCCAGTGACTGAGACAGTCGGCATGTTCGCTCTTTTCGCCTGTCACATGCGAAACATCGAGCTCAACCGACGTAGCAGCGGAAAGTAACGAAAGCTTCTGGCGAACGCTCCCCGCGGCCATCTGAAAGTGAAAAGCTTGGCACCCACTGCCTCTGTCAATGTGCAATCCATCGAGGGGGGTTNNTTTTAGCTTTTGTGACCAGTGCTTTACCCCACTTTTGTAGTGACTTCTACTTGTGAGCACTGTTGGAGACGGTGCGTTGTGAACTGAACGTTCGGACGACACAAGGCTCAAGTAGTGTGTGTGAAAAGTGTGAACTGCGTGTGCTACGTAGTTTTTGCGCTGCTCTGT